GGGGGGGGGTAATGAGAATTACATGATCTTATGAATAATTGGGTCCAGATTAGGTAAAATATTGCAAACCTAAAATAGAGTCGAAAATATCACCTTGAATTGTTTCAATGGCTAAGTATCTTGAGTTTAACCATTTAAGTGGTAATACACCCTGATTTGATGAATCCTGTTTTTTTATTTTACTCTGTCTAATACCAGATGAATTTACTTGTCAAGGGGAGAGTACTGAGCATGCACAAAAGAAGCGGTAGTTTCGCTTCCCGACGTGTCGCAGCTTCGTGTCAGAAAAATAACAAAATGTCGACAGGTGCGAACAAGACATTTTTTTCATAATTTTATTTAGAATATATTTATTTCACAAGTCCATCCCACATATCAAATAAGTTGTTTACTTTCATGTTATAATACAATTTATTGAGCAAATGCTTTGAATTGTCCTTATCTTGAAAATACAGAAACCAAAACCAAACCAAGGTTCTTTCACCCCCAAAAGACCGGAATACCGAAATGAAATTCCTGGAACCACACAGCTCCACTTAAAATGATTCTACTTACATTCTGCAGATTGCATCTTATAAGCTATGGCTGTGTCTTCATGAACTTGGAATTTTTGTAAAGCTAAAAAGTAGGTACACATTGAGTACATAAAATAATGCTGGTATTAAGACACTATGAGGAGGATTTTTGAGTCTTCTAATCTAATATCGTTGGAAGGTTTTAGTTTTGGAATTCAATGCTATAATAATTATATATTGTTTGCAACTGAGGAATGGGCATTCAGAAATAAAAAATATTTGGTCATTCCAGAAACGATTCACACTCCCCCCCCCCCCCACAATGGAAATTTCTCTGCCCGGAGGGGAGAAAAATTTGTTTCTGATAATGGTAAGTGTATTAGGACATCTGAACAGGGTAGGAAGGTTAACATCCAATTTCCTCCATGGAGGAGGTACGGGTGTTTACTGGAATGATCCATTGTGAATGCTCACATGAAACTCAATGATTGTCAAGAGCACTTGAAGGATTTGATCAGCTCAGTCAACTAGCACAAGACTAGTAAACCAACTACAAACTTCCAGACAATCCGCTTTACCATTTGCAAGCTTCCATGAAATGTGCATTTGAAGCTAGGTTTCAAAACGTTTTTCCGTGAAGTACATACTGTAATTATGTCATTCAAAACTTTTTTTGCTTTGGATTTGTGGGGGTGAAACACGATTGTTCTGCATGTGAAATGTTTAGTTTCAACCTCGGAAGTATGTGTGTATTTTAAAGAGGCTGTCAAGTCCATTTAGTGGATGTGCAGTTTGCTTGCATTTTGAAGACACTATATTCTTAAAATATAATGCACATAGTTAATATCTAACATCTTTCTGGTCTGCTATGCTTTTAAATAAATATAGATTAGGGTTTCAATTTAGAAGATGTCAAAACAAAGCAAGATGTGGGTATTGTTTACATCAGAGGGCCTTTTAATATACATAGCACATGTGCAGAACAGACTTGACCACATCTTTAAAAGTAGCTCAGCCGTTCCGCACGTTGTAACCAATAATTTATTGGCGTTGTAATGCCATTGTATGCAATAAAGTATTGGGTTGTAATGGGTCTACAATTAATCCA